AGAAGGGAGAGAGGGCGAGAAGGGAGAGAGGGCGAGAAGGGAGAGAGTACCTATCAGCTGATCTGACGTGGTGTCCATGTGAGATTTTGCAAATGTAATTTGTTGATTGCCTAGCTTTTATCTCTTCCAAAGAGGCAAAAATGTAAGGATTCAAAGATTTCTTTCATTCAATCTGCAAGCAATTGATGAGCCCAGTTTAGCAGCACTGACCCACTACTTAGTCATACACAAAATCTAGAAACCTCCAAGTTGCCATGAAGGTCACAAAGTGCAATCTTCAAAATGTACATGTTCTGATTTTGGGATTTAGGAAGAATCTCGCGCCTTACATCTGCATTTTCCTAAACACTAGCTAAACTTTCTCTAGCTTCTACTGTTTTTAACCATTTTTCAGCAACTGGTTATAGACCCAGAAAAGGCAGAATGCTCTGAATGCTGGGAACTTCTCACCAGAGGATACATATGTGAAGTAATTGGCAAAGAACCAGACAATATGACGAGAATGATTTTTTACTGCAAGTTAGAATGGACTGTCTGAAAGGGTGGTTAGAGTCAATTCAAATAGAATTTGTATACATACTTGAAAATTAATAAATTTGCAGGGCTTTGAGCAAAGATCAGGGGAGTGGGATTAATAGAATAGGTCTTACAACAGGTCACCACAGGCATGATGGGCCAAATAGCCTCCATCTGCACTGAGGGATTCTACCATTCTCTATCATTTAATCCGTTTGCCGCAGAAATATGTCTAGTTTTTTTCCCCAGAACAAATTAAAGTAGGCTTACATCTGCTACGAATGTCAGGGAGGGCTAAGTTATGGCAGCTCTGTCTTCCTGTGAGCCAGTCACTAGTCTATGGGGATCTAGGTTAAGGCTGCTGACCTTCATTCGCATAAGTGGTCTGGAAGAAGGCAAGGTTTGTGGAAGGGAAAGACAGCCCACCATTTACTGACATAACATACAAGCACAAGTGCTGGATTTTACATGAGATAAATAGACAAGTTTAGACACACTGGGGACGGTGTCCTACAGTGTGACAGATTTCTCTCAACATAGAAAAATGCACATTATTACATTAGATCACAGTTATTTCAAGTAGTCTTACACTTTGCACGGAATTTCCTGCAGAAGCACCTGTGCGTAATTCATAAAACATGATGTACATAACTAGGTTTATTGAAGCTGTTGTAAGGATGAGTAGCATACTGGACTAATTCAACATGTAATTATAAGCACAATTTTTACCAGTGTAAATGTTAACTTGGTTGCATTAGAATGGCATCCAGTTTCAGCCCTCTCTGAAAATGGAGGAAACATTCAATCTCCCTTGGAAATGCTCAGAAAAGGACCATTCAGTTAATAGGGATTTTAAGAGTAGTCTTAGTGGAAAGAGGGAGGGAAAGGTGGAGTATTTCCTTTAAAGAAATGAATAAAAATTGGGTGAAAAAGTGTGGTATTAACACATTGTGTAAAATTTCTTCACCATTGTAGTAGACACAAGGTTCAGCAGCAGTTTTCAGTCTCACTCCCACCTTCATATCCCTGAAGGGCCCAAATCACATCTGTTAAAAACTCTAAAGAAGAAAGCACAAACCTATGAGTCTATCCTGATCACTGAATGCTCCTGAAACCAATTATCAATCAAATGGCTCTGGTTCTCTTTTTAAAAAATAAAGGCAAAGTACTCCTTATTATACAAGGGGTCCAAAACTAAACTCAATTTTAATACAAACCGAAAG